TAACGCATACATGTTTTTTTTTCCAATATATGAATTCTGACATTTTTTCCCAGGCATGTACTCTGAGGAGTGGAGCAGAAATCGGCAGGGTAGAGAGAAGGCTGTGATCACGAATTTCAGCTTTAGTCAGCTGCCAGAGGAGGAGAAGAGGGGTTGGATAAAATCTCACAGTGTTCATGGTGAGTTATGTACAACACAGTTAATATTAAGCAATAACCGAATATACTAATCAGGACTATAAAAACTGCACATACAAAATACATTAAATTGCACATACACATAAATCTGTGTGTATATATTGAGGTATTTGATGCATGCATTAAGGTTATATCGTATGTGGATATGATGCATGAATTTCTGAAATAATGCATGCATTAGTGAAAGGATTCCCAAACTTTTTTGTCAGCCAAACTCTTTTGACATTAAATATATACTTGAAGTTCCCCCTGAGATTTTAAGTTAATATTTCAATAATTCAACCACAACTACATTCACAACTCTCTGATGTTGGTTAAAAATATTTATTATAAACAATAAAAAATTTATAATTTTTGGTAACATTTATTTTGGTTATTTTTTATTTTTAAATGATTTATTTTTAATTTACATTTTTTTGTAAATGAATTATTAGCTTTTTGTCAAGTCACAAACCCCATGCAACTTCCTCACAAACCCCCAGATGTAAGCAAATCCTATTTTGGGAAACCCTGCATTAGTGCAAGACACCATCATGCACAACACAAAAGCATTGAGTTGTTTTTTATTCATTAAAACAGGGCTCAAGTTGATCAAGTTCCTCTGTCATTCTGGTTGCTATTCATTTAAGCTTGTGTCTTCTTTCAGACTCAGAGGAATCCATTCCTGATGATCGCCACCATGCCATCTACTTTGCTATGCTGTTGGCTGGTGTTGGTTTTCTACTGCCATACAATAGTTTCATCACCGATGTGGACTACCTCCACCGCAAATTCACAGGTGTGATGCGACCAACCTGTCACACATCACAGGAAAGACTAAATTAAATTCACAGAGCTGTAGGTCGATAAATGACAGCTATGCATTGCACAGTCAAAATACTTCTCTTCTATTGTCAGGCACCTCTATTGAGTTCGACATGAGTTTGACGTATATTCTGGTGGCTCTCAGTGCTGTCATTGTGAACAACGCTCTTGTGGAGAGACTGAGCTTAAACACACGCATCTGTGTGGGTGAGAACATGCAAAAACTGCCTCAAAATAAAGTCTAAGACAAACTCACAAGCTCCTCTGCACCATTTTCTACATGTACGCACAAAGATTCTTATTTTTCGATTGCAATATCACTAATTATCCTGTGTTGCATAAATAGGATATCTATTTGCATTGGGACCTTTGGTGTTTGTGAGTGTATTTGACATCTGGTTGGAGCTGTTTGACACTCAGCAGTCCTATGCTCTTACTCTAGCCGCAATTGCCATTGTTGCATTTGGATGCACAGGTAAATATATATACAAGCAAGCATGCTCTTGCGACTGGCCTACATTGTGCTATTGTGATCTGTAAACATTGTACTTTTGACCTTTACAGTGCAGCAGTCCAGTTTCTATGGTTACACTGGGATGCTGCCCAAGAGGTACACACAGGGCGTGATGACTGGAGAGAGTGAGCCAAACTTCCATCACCACATGACTGAAATTATAACCATTATATTAGAATAAATGTAATATTTACTTCATATTATTGTGCTCCCATTCTCATTACCGTAATGCATTTAGTTTTATTTTATTTTTTTTGTATCGTTGTCAATGAAGATTCTCAGTAATTTAATAATATAGTAAAAAAAAATTGTAATACAAGTATTAAAGGGGTCATATGATGCGATTTCAATTTGTCCTTTCTCTTTGGAGTGTCACAAGCTCTTGGTGCATAAAGAAGATCTGTAAAGTTGCAAAGACTAAAGTCTCAAATCCAAAGAGATATTCTTTATAAAAGTTAAGAGTCAACCACGCCTACCTAAAACGGCTCGTTCTAACACGCCCTCACATGTCTACGTCACGATGTGGGAAGATTTTTATAACGCCGCCCAAATGTTCACGCAAAGAAAGAAGGCGTAACTTTTATTCTCGCTGTAGTATTGTTGTTGACACTGTGAATGTCTCTTTAAATGCTAATGAGCTCTGCTCACCCCACCCCTCTCTTCTTTAGAAGAGGAAAGACGATTTGCAAATAATCATAAAAATGTAAAATGTGAGACTTACTTCTTGTGGAGATGCAGCTGGATCACGAACAGTAGAAATTGAGTTTTAACTTTTTAGCAAAACCTGCCTTTAATTGTTCCTCGTTCAGAAAGCTGTCTGGAGTAAAATGATTTGTGCAGACATAGACGAATATAGGTGTATTTGGTGGCGCATTATCATCAAAAACAAAACTAATCCACTGTGTCCTCAGAGGCTCTGATGTCAGGAGAGAATGAAGACTCTTATGTTCATTTTTACATCTAACTACAAAACATCTACATTGCTTACGAGACATTGTCGCTACAGCTGCTCGAGCACGGAGAAAATGGAGGACAGCGTACAACTGGCTGAGGGTGGAAATATGTTAATAAGGGACGGTTCATCAGTCGTGGGCGGGGCTTGAGCAATATGATGTCATATTGCTCAGAAAATCAAACGGCTTGATAATTGAGACTGTTTAAGTTTTTTGGGGATTAAAAAAAGGAGTGAATGGAATTTTATCATCGTAGTGTGGTTGTGTCCACACACTGCTATGACAATATTATCAAACACCATGTAAAAGTGAATTTTGCATCCGATGTCTCCTTTAAAGGCAGTACAGCAAATACAGATTCTTTAAAAAAAATACAATTGTATTATTTCATTTTATTAATAAATGTAGATATAGATATAATATTAATTACATTTTTCACATTGCAGTAATGAGGTTTTTTTTGCATTATGGGAATATGAATTAGTGATTTATTTATTTTTCCAAAATATGAATTCACCCAATTTTTATTGATCATATGTAATGTTTGTTTGTATTGCGCTTGATGTTTTTTGTTTTGTGTCAATTATGGTTGTTTCAGGCACTGCAGGAGTTATTGTCTCTCTGAGTCGGATTTTTACAAAGCTGCTGGTGGAGGACGAGAAGAGCAACACCATCATCTTCTTCCTGTTCTCTGTCTCAATAGAGACGCTCTGTTTTCTGTTACACGTGGTGGTCCGACGGACACACTTTGTCCGTTATCACACCGACAGAGCTCGCCACAGCTGGCTCAAAGGACAGATTAATAATTTTACTTCAAAAAACCACAGTGGCTATCAGATACATTACGACAGCAGCGCAGAGGAAGAGGTAATTTCACACATAGAAATAATGGTTTGCACTTGACTTTTGGGATGTTTTGGGTGTGGGCTCTTTATCCATATGTTACTGACAGGTTTTGAAAGGTTTCTGTGGGTTTGTGCTAACTATTTTCCTTCTTACATTACAGGAAAAGTTATGTTAACCATGGCAACAAAATGGGTGTAATAGGTTTTTCAAAACTTAATAAGCTTCCTAGCTAAATACTGTTTCTTACAATGCACTATGAAAAACCATAGCAAAAACACTTTATCCAAGGTCATAGACATACCCTCGTGAAAAAGAAGTGTGCTTAATTGTACTGAATATGTACTTGTAGTGTACTTGTAATCTTAAAAGTATATTTCTAAAAAGCTTTACTTGGAGAGAATATATTATTAATTAAATTAAACCAGTACATTTTATTGAGTATGTGCACTTTTAAGTGCACGTTGTAAAAATGTCAAATTAAAAGTTTTACTTTAAAGTATAATTTAAAACATTATTTTAAATAACTTTTTGTCATGCTTTAAAGAAGTACACTTATTTTGATGTGTTGACTAAATCTGCTAAACTACTAAAGCACATCTAAAGTAATTGAAAAATGGAAAATAGCAGAATTTTTTATTTTGGTGTGATCTATCCCTTTAAGAATTTTATTTCCATAATAAGTACTCTTTTTAAAAATATGCCAAAGTGTACTTCTTTTTAACAAGGGTAGCCAAGGGAAATGTTTATTATTAAGATATTTTGTATTAATTTTGTTTATTTTGGTAGAAAATGGTCAATTTCCCCCAAATTTGTTGTAAGCAATAGACAGCCCAACCAGATTTTGAGACAGTCATTGTTTAGGATGATTTGCTCAAAGATAAAATTGACATTGACTCATGGCAGTTCCACAAATTAGGATGGAGTGGCATCAAGCACAGTTGACGAAGCTGATGCAGTTAATCTGGGTAACGGTTCCCATGAAGATGGAATATACGTCAGATTTGATGTGCCCAAACCAGACACCAAAAGGACCTGGATGGGCGTGAAGGGTGAGCTATAGGTTTAATAACAAACGCTGTAGCTATTCAGTGAACAGACTACAAAACAAAGTTAAAGGAATAGTTCACACAAAAATGAAAATTTACTGAGAATTTACTCACCCTCAGGCCACCCAAGATGTAGATAAGTTTGTTCCTCTAAGCAAATTTGGAGAAATGTAGCATAACATCACTTGCTCATCAATGAATCCTCTGCACTGAATGGGTACAAACAGAATGGGAGTGCAAACAGCTGATAAAAACACCACAATAATCCACTTTTTCAAGACATTAATCGATGGACTGTAGTCGTGTGGATTACTTATTGTGATGTGTTTATCAGCTGTTTGGACTCTCATTCTGACGGCACCCATTCACTGCAGAGGATCCATTGGTGAGCAAGTGATGTTATGCTAAATTTCTGTAAATTTGTTCTGATGAAGAAAAAAATCTCATTTACATCTTGGGTGGCCTGAAGGTGAGCAAATTTTCTTTTTTTTTTTGGTGAACTGTTGCTTTAAGTTCAATTAACTCTGCAGTTTTAGGACTGAAGTTTTTTGACATAATATATGATGACTTTCTTACAGAACTGCTGGATCAGAGGTGTGCTGTTGCCCGGATGATCTGGCCCTATATGCTCTCAATTTTGGTGACATATTTCATCACACTGTGTCTGTTCCCTGGTTTGGAGTCAGAGTTACGCAATGATACACTGGGAGAATGGCTGCCTATTCTCACCATGGCTCTGTTCAACTTGGCAGACTTTGTGGGCAAGGTGAAATTAAGCTTTTTGATGTCATCTATGAGCATATATTATCATTTAAAAATGGCAAATGTTCAAAGCTCTTTATTTCTCTCTTTAGATCTTGGCAGCGTGTCCGTATGAGTGGGGTGGTGTGCAGCTGCTGGTGTGTTCATGTTTGCGCGTCCTCTTTCTGCCACTGTTTGTGATGTGCGTGTCACCCGTGCAGCACCCCCTGCTGGCGCACCCAGCCTGGCCCTGCGGCCTGTCTTTGATGCTGGGAATCAGTAACGGATACCTTGGCTCTGTACCAATGATACAGGCTGCAGGCAAGGTGCAACTTCAACAGCGAGAAGTGGCAGGTGAGTATGGCTGACACACAAGTAATTAACTAGACAAAACATTTGTTTCTCTGGAGATTTAGGGCTGCAAGTGTTATCAGTTACGCTTTGAGAAAAAATGTGAATGCAATTGTTGAATTACTGTAATAGTAAAGATCTGTTTAGTTTCAAATTTTTAGATTTGAGTTTTTAAACATCAAATTTATCACTCTAAAATTATTTAGGGATGATCAGAATGTTCGTAGTACAAATACTTCATTTGATGCTCTCTTTAGCTTATCAAAGTTTAAACCACCTGTCTTCAGAATAGAAATAAATACCTAATATTTTGGTAACACTGCCAGAAATACAAATATAAAGTCAATTTCTTTGTACTTTATTTGTCTTGTTTTTTAAAATAGTTTTAAGTAATTGTGTCTATATTTTCCATCACAATCACCACAACCATATAATATAGATCAGTGGTTTCAACCGCTAGAGAGCAGTTACACATAGTCTAACTTTAATCTAAAACAGACCATAGACTGTATAAAAACATAGACGTAGTGTCATGGAAGAGCATTTTTGAAGCCTAAAGTGGGCGGAGCCGGCCATCGCCATATTGTCACTCCTGGAAATCGAAAATGGGTAAAGAGGCGGGACGTGGGTGGAGCTAGTTGCTGAAACCACGCCTGCCTAGCTCTCTATATAGACCAAAACCACTTTTTGTACCAGGCTGTAAACATATTTTTAAAGTTGGGCATTTTAACATGGGGGGGTCTATGGGACAGTCTCTAGTGGCCAGTTGATGAATTGCAGTTTAAGTCACTTCCGTGTTGGTTTCAAGAGAGAGTCATAGTACTGAAAAATTCAGTGAGATAAAATTAATATGGATAGCATAGCCCAAATTTTTTTTTTTTTTTTTTTGTAAACATTTGATGAGCAGTAGGCTATTTGAGTTGATATCGAAATCTCTGATTGTTGGCAAATTGTTGGAGGCTTCTTATTATTGGATTATTTCTAATGAGAATAATTTGAGAAGCAGTAGACTTAAGCAAAATTCTCCATTTGCTTACCATTTAATCCCATTTCTGTCTAGGAGAAGCAACTGATATATTGAAATTTTATTGTGATTTTTCTTCAGCATTTTTTTCTTCAATGCATTTTTACAGGGAACACCATGACGGTATCATATATGGCGGGACTGATGCTCGGGTCTGCTGTGTCTTACTCAACATACAGCCTGACCTCACAGGCACATTCTACTCACACACTGAAACTCAACAACACACTCACATTACAGAGCTATATGTCTGGCCACTGAGCGTCTTTCTCACATGTACGCTGTTTTGTATAATTGTTAATGTAAGGATAAAGAAAATTTCCAGAGACTATCATTGCTGAAAATACCAGCTTAGACCAGAGTTTGCATACTGGTCCAGTCTGGTTTATGCAAGGAAAGTCTGCTGGTTAAGCAAGTTAAAAATTCAAGTTTAGGACACACCAGCATTTTAGAATTTCATTGTGCGGACCAGCATCCAAAACACAACATATGCTGGTGAGCAGCTGCATATGCTGATTTGTTCATCAGGGATGTTGGATTATATAAAATGTGTTGAGATATTCATTAGAGTATTATCCAAAACTGTCTGAATAACCATCACCTTGCTAAATAAATTGATGTATGACTGTTCCTGTCATGTTTAAATGTATGGCCACCATGTGTAATTTACTGTAAGGTATGCTTTAAAGTTCTACTTTATGGCTGGTCGTTATAATCGTGTTGGTGTCTTGTTTTAGATTATGGCCCTCCACTTTCACCTGTTTAAACCAAGGTTAGGTAACGAATAGTTTCATTATTCGCAAAACATCTTATTCTGGCCAAAAAGCACCCATTGAGACAGGAAGGTGTCGTTTGACTGATATGTTAAATTGACTATATCCTGTTTGCTTTTTGACATGATGGCCAGGTAAATCTGTAAGTGGAAGGATTTACAGTTCACACAGAACATGTTTTTGCTTTGACAAACGTGAGACGAGGGCAGTGGAATGGGGAAAAGCATGTTTTTTTTTTAAGTTTTTAAAAGTTCTTTTATTTTTAGTGCCAAGTTTTTAGAACGTGCAACGGTCAAACACATCAGTCTAGGGAGTTTAAATAGCAAAACAACGCGCAGTGTAATGGAAAAACATGTTCTGTGTAAATGGCCCCTAAAGGCCCGTTTACACACTCTAAAAAATGCTGGGTTGTTTCAACCCAATTTTGGGTCAAATATGGACTAACCCAACTGTTGTGTTAAAAAGTTAATTTAAAAATGTAACCAAAATTTAACCCAACAGTTGGGTTAGTCCATATTTGACCCAACATTGGGTTGAAACAACCCAGCATTTTTTAGAGTGCACCAAGGACGATAACGATAAAGATATAGTTCTAAAAATCGTTCTCAATATTAAAGAATAGCAGAGTCCACACCACAACTATAACGATAAAGACAAAGAGAAACGATATCGTTGGAATCACTTTCAAAACGATTTTTCACCTGCTGATGAACGATAAAAAATTGACAGCCAATCAGAATCCACACTGCTGTAACGACCTCGAGAATTTAAAGCGGCAGACGAGCGTGCGCTTGGAATAAACAGACGATATCGTTCGCTGGTGTGGACGCTAAAATCGTTATCTTTATAGTAGGGCTGTGCAAAAAATCTAATACGATTTTCATGAAAATAGTTATCGTTCTTGGTGTGAACGGGGCTTAAGAGTCTAAGATTTGACGCCATGGATCTTACAAACTTTGCCAAATACAGCAATTATTGTAGCAGCCTGGGAAGCTGCAGTGCTAGTGTTGGGGACGAGTTGTGGAGCCATTTCCCCTCGTCATTCCGTCATTCACTGTCCTTTTTACACCGATTCTGTCAATAAAAGTGTAAAAAGGGTAGAAAAAGATTGGGGGGTGTCATTTTGAGAACGCCTATGCTTGTAGGTTTTGTTGAAGTTTGCAGGTTGTTTAGCAATTGGAGTAGGCTATATGTCCATGACCAGTTCAGAGTCCAAAATCCATAGTCGTGGAGACCCCATCAAAATAAAAAGCTAGATAAAGATTGGAGCTTGTCATTTTAAGAACTCCTATTCTTGTAGGTTTTGTTGAAGTTTGCCGATTTTTTAGTAATTGCAATATGCCCATGACCTGTTCGGAGTCAAGAGCTCAATCCATTACAATTCAATCCATTATAATGAAATCTTCAATGATTTCTTCTAATAAACTAAACTCAAACTTTTCGTTATTGTTTGTTTTCCTCCACTGACAGTGGTTAAAGTATCAGAGCCCCATTGTGACTGACAGCTTGGTACGTTCTGATTGTTTGATACTGTTATTGTACCATATAAGATCACAAAATCTTGGTATGTTCAATTATTTTGAGTAATCAGGTGCAAATGCACATTGTTTTTCTAGAAGTACGCAGTACACGGTTTGCAGTATTGATGATTTTTTATTAGGCGTATTAGAGGTTAATTGAGACATTATAATGATAAAAGTTTCAGTAAAATCTTTTATCACATTCATTATTATTTTACAGATAATTGTCATTCTAATTTGTCATTTGATTAAGAAATACAACATAATATCACCCAATATAGATTCCCCCAAAATTCTGACAGGAGATATTATAGTTATTAGAATTCAAATTAAATTAAAATAATCTGCATTTAAAAAAAAATCACTCAAAATAGGCTCCCTCAAAAATGTTTGCAAAGTGTAATCACTCAGTGAGGATTTATTTTGAAGCAACCCCTGTCTGCTTTTGTTATTATTATTGAAACAACTGAAATGTTCTTCCATAAAGGTTTCCCAACTCTGCCTCTAAAGCAGCCACATTCATTTCCCTAATACTGGAGTTATTGGGTGCAATGGAGTCTGAACATCTATCATTCTGGTCTAAGCAGCAGTATGCAGTCCAGAAGTGACTAGGCACGTTCACTCTGTTTGTTATGTTATGAGTGCCTGGTACCACCCCTGTTACAATGTAAATATTTAAACTTACATTTCAATTCCAGATATTGTGCCATCTATTTTTCTACATCCCTCCGTAACACACTTTTGTGGAGCAGCATTGGTCAGAGTGAAGGTGGCATCAGCACAGCTCTGTGTGTTTGCCAGGTAGACTGGTGCCAGATGATCTCTGTCATAATAGTCTTCATTAAGAGCTTGACGGTCTCCACGTATTTGAATATTCACAGTCCCCTCACATGCCATGTCTGGTCCTTTATTATTATCATCATTCTGCAATGTAATTAAACATAAGAAAAAAAAGATACACTTGAGAATACTGGATATAAGAAAAAAAAAATGTACATCCATGTTCACATTCAGCATTTATCTTTTTTAGTTTTTCCTGTTACACACATATGCTAGACAAGCAATCTCTTGTTTACTTAGTAAACATTTATCTATTTCTCTGTGTTTAATACTCTATCAAATTAACTGCTAACTTGTGTGATTTTCTAAATTAAGTAGTGTCATTTTTATTTATTTGTTAATTTTCAAGTTTCTTGTCAAGCCTTAAATGTCAATGTGCATTTAAGCACTTTACAGAAGCAATTAAATGCACTACTCCAGCATTGTTATGGGATGTCACTGTGTACTATTTCAAGACTTTTAGTTGAAATGATGTAGAGTGTAAAATGTTTAACAGAATTTTAGATGAAGTAATATTTCACTCTCAAAATCCTGCACAACTTTAACTGAACCACCAAAGAGAAATGACAGCATCAGCACATGAAGAAGGAGCAGCATGACGAAGAGGATGAGATGATGAATTATCAAGCTCTCTGCATGAACAAGAACTACATGTGATACTTTTTTATAACAGCTTATACTGTATAATATAATAAATGACATTACAAGTCAAAGATCAAGCTATTATCAATGAAGAGACAAGAATGTAAGAAACATGATACATAACACCTTCCGTGTAGTAAGTAAACATTTACTATTAGATACTCAACAAATAATAAAGAATAAAATGTAAGAGCCCAAAGTCAGCTCTAAAAATATTACAGTACATACCGACACCAAAGGCAAGGATACACTGGTGCTGCAGTGAGATAGGCGAGCATTTCTAACCCCCTGCTTTGCCATTTAACATTTTTAAGCAATGAGTAGGAACACTTTTAAGGAAACGAGCAGAGGCACACAAACTTGATCCACTGCATATCTCTCTATGGCTACATATTTAAACATAGGTCCACGTAACAAGCATGCGTTTGTTTATAAAAACTAAAAGATAACTCTTTAAATAAATGTTTCTGATATTTGTTACTGGATATAGAATATAGTGGCCCTATATATCTGAATTCACCTGACATGCCCTTTTTGACAGGTGGCAGAATAGCATCAAATTCGAAAATTATTTTTTCTATGAGTTATTAGTCTCCCCCTTCTGTATTTTGTGATATACCCCTGATGGATCTTATGAAGTAAAGGTTAAACATGCACACTGGCTGAATAGGACACTAAGTAAGCTCTTCTTGTTAGTATTGTATTTTCTCTATGGTGGTTTTGGTTGATATTGTGCCTAATTTTGTTTTACACTCTAATGAGATCTACTGGTAATTTTCTTAAAGGAATGAATGCAAATAAATGCACAGAAGCGTTTAATATTTCTCTGTTGTGTCTCATTGTATCTTACTGCATTCATGACATTTAAGTTTAAATTTGGAAGTTTACAAAATTCACTGTTGCCAATCAGTGTGCACGTTGTTTTCTGTCACCTGACCAAGAAAATCAACATCAGATTTTGAGTTATGAATGTGATACGTTTCCAGTGTTTTTTTTTTTATGTATTTACAATGGTTTCAGTGTAAATACATTAGTTGTTAATTAAACTCATATTGACTGAGTGGGACAAATTTCTAAACACCGAATGTGTGTAAATGTTTTCACTAGTGTCATGTGTTTGTCATACTTCTTTCAATGGAAATGTTTGTAATAACGTAACTGTCACCCACCTGGAATCTGTGTGTTTTTCCCTCTCCATGTGCCTGCCCTGACCTAGTTTTCCCATGTTAATTGTTCATTAGTTCCAGGTGTGTCTCGTCATCCCCTCGTAAAGTGAGGTGTATTTATAATGAGTCCTGAGAAAACAGTAACCTCCGTGTCTACCCTCCGTTTTTTGTTTCTGTTTTTTATACAGTGTCTTTTTTTCCCATGGTGTCTATGGATCCCCTCGCCCGCCCTGAATACCTCCTCCTCCTGCTGGAGCAGGGGGAAAGATCGCTTGAGGGCCACACCAGACTGTTCCTGGTCCTCGCCAACCTCTCCAGCTACCCGGACGACAATCTCTGTGTGTTCTATGACGCCAGTCTAAACCTGGCATACAGAGCGCCGTCGTCCGAGAAAGAGCCCTCGAGCGAGTTTCGCAGCCTTTGTGGAGTAGACACTGGCGAGACACGGATCCCCGGACTACTCCGGTGCTACTCCGAACCCAGTGCCCAGCCCACCATCTCCCCGCTGCATGGAGCGCATGCCCGAGCTCGCCGTGGCCGACGAGCTGTTGCCGCATGGAGCGACAGAGCAACAGACCGCCGCGGAGCCGAAGCTGCAAGTGACGTCAGTCAAGGTGTGAGAGCTGGCAACAGAGCCCGCCACGAGGGAGAATGTCGCGGACAGAGAGAGCGCAGAGTGGAGCTTCGCCCACTGCACTGCGGCTGAGGTTGAGCTGATTATACATCTGCGACTGCTGGACTTCGAGGAGGACCCCGTCCAGCCCTGAGTGGGCTCCCGTTTCCCAGTCCAGCATAAAGAGAGACCCAGTCCCCGAGTTTAACCCAGAGAGGGTTCCAGTCCCCGAGTTTAGTCCCCGAGTCTAGCTCAGAGAGGGCTCCAGTCCCCGAGTCTAGCTCAGAGAGGGCTCCAGTCCCCGAGTCTAGCCCAGAGAGGGCTCCAGTCCCCGAGACTAGTCCAGAGAGGGCTCCAGTCCCAGAGTTTAGCCCAGAGAGGGCTCCTGGTCCCAGAGTTCAGCCCTGAGAAAGTTCCTGGTCCCAAGTTAAGCCCAGAGGCTCACAAATGCCCACCCTTCCACCTGCTCCTGCAGTGGCTGGAGTATGCCTTGGCTCCGCCTCCAGCCTCTAAGCCCCGGACTCCGCCTTGGCCCGTGGACCCGTTGGCTCCTCCATGGCTCCTAGCTCCCTCCTCTCCGCCGTGGTCCAGCAGTCCACTAGC